GACCATGGGCGTAGCCAGCTTTGGGCTCAGGGTGGGGCAGCAGTCAACCTATCCCCCGGGGGAGGGCGGTGGCCCTCCGATTTTTTGTACCTTGAGCAGTTAATCTCAAGCTTGTTAATCTCTTAAATTTGGCTAAAGACTGTCTCAGTAGGATCTCGCGATGGGGCGAACGAAATCGCTTAACTTTTGCACCCCATAAAACTTACCAGCTATTGCTTAAAGGAAATCTAAAGTCGTGGCCGTCTATTAAATTTAACAACGTTTCCGTAAAACGAAAGGAATCGGTTTGCTATCTCGGTCTAGTTTTGCAATAAAACTTTTCTTTCATTGAACATATTAAGGCTAATGGTACAAACATATTAAGGTGAGAAAGCCAAAAATAACTTCTATGCGCTGACGCGAATTTCAAAAGCCACCTGGGGTCTCTCTTTTCTTACGCTCAGGATCGTATACCTCTACTATACGGAGCAACCTACGTGGGTGCGTCTGCTACGGGGCACCTGTCTGGGCTGTCTGGCACAATAGGCGCGGTACGGCGAAAACTTCTTCAAGGCCAAAGTCTAGCCTTGATTTTCCTGTGTAAGGCTTATAGGACGGTTAGCACTGAAGCCCTACCTGTGCTCGCGGGCGTACTTCCGGTAGATCTTGAGGTGCAGCGACGTGCTGCTATGTACTGCAATGCGAGACCTCATTTGTCAGCAGGCTTTCTGGCAGAACGTGATAGAAATAAAATTGTTAGATTGTTTAAGCCAATAACGGACGTTTGGGATGAGCTTATAACTGAATGGCAGTGTAGATGGGCATCTTATATTAAGGGCCGCCACCTATATCAGTTCTTCTCATCCGTGCATGAGCGGCTGCAGAGGACATGGTTGGAGGTGAATCACTGTGTTGCCCAATTTCTTACTGGCCACGGCAACTTTAAAAGCAAATTGTTCTCATTTAAACTTATTGATTCACCATGGTGCCAATGTTCGACAGCAGAGTTGCAATACGAGCAGTCGGCCCATCACATACTCTGGGAGTGTGATCTCTGGCAATATGAACGTAACACTATGTTAAATAATTTAATTGTTTCGCCAGGTGTAGTTTATTATACGGACCTTATGGAATCTAAAACAAATTTCCGTGCGTTTAGGCGCTTTTGCCATACCTATTATTGGAAGCAAGTATAACAGCTCACACATAGGACCCACTTAGTTTTTAGTCAAATTTCCGTGGTGCTTGGCGACTGGGCTTCACCCAGTTGTACAGCCTCTTCTTTGTGCCTTTAAGCTTAATTCATTCTGCCTCCCGCAGTAATTCACCGAGGGAAGTGGAAACTATAGTTTTTTTTCTTCTTCTCTTCTTATAAGATATTCTCAGAAGATATTCTTCTGATTCACTTCGTTGCGGGAACCAAGACAGTTATTCATGTCCCTGGGACGCGCGGGACTTCAGTGTTCCGGTGTCTTCATGGTTGTATATACTGTAGATCCTGACTTACAGGAGTTGCAGCGGTTTTGGGAGGTTGTGGCGGGCTTGTCCCATTAAAAAAATCTCTTAATTTGAGAGGTTTAGTTATAATTTCAGGTACAGAAAATAAACAATCACACACAGGACAGATTTTATAGTTTTATTTATGAATACTCGGTGTTTATAAATTAAAGTTCTAACAAAGTATATTATGTATGAGTAATATTACTTCAAGAGAAGACGGCGTGTGTTCTGGCAGAACCTGTTAAGCACTTCTTCTAATTTGTTTTGATTCTGAGACCCTTGTTCTGTGCACACTTGGCATACACAGGCCGCTTAAACGATTTTCGCCCATGGTTAAGCGAAGCCACGTTTTGACGATCGTTCTATTGTACAGATCGTACATGGCTAGGCAAGCAAAACAGCGAGCGCGGTTTATACACTAGGATAAAATTGCATTTCCAAAATTTTGATCACATCTACCAGTTCCACCTCCTTCAATGCATTAATGACCGTATTTTTTTCTTCCCACAAATTATACCACATCTCAGCCTCGCTCAGGAAAGTATCACTTAATTTACCAAAATTAAAATTAAGATCAACTAGAAAATTAAAATTAAACAAAACAAGCAACAATAAGAATCGCGCCACAAGCCATAGAAGATTTTAGTCTGCACTTCGCAGGGCGCGGGCGGGGATGAGTGACCGCGCGGTGATGGTCGGCTCACTACGCCACATAGTACTTACCTGTTCTTTTAGGGAATACGGCTCGCTTTCAAATAACGCGCGCACCGCGCACGTTCGGGAACTCGAGCGTGCATTTTGTTTTGATCGCGCTCTTTTCAAAGTCGACAATTATTTTTGTGTAATTACTTACGGATAGTATGATTGTTGATGTTGTTAGTTAGAGTTAGTAAAAAAACATTGTTTAATCAGACACCTTATGGGTCAGAGCCAGGACCCAGGGTGGGGCAAGTGCCCCAGCTTGCCCCAGTGTGGCTACGCCCATGGACCGGTCCCAGTACAATGTGATATGGTCATTTTCCAGAACTGGGTTGGGCACATACTTGTAGTACGGTACCTCAGATTCAACAAGTCGATAGTGTAAAGCAAGTTGCTGATGGATAATCTTGGCTACTTGATTATGCCTATGCAAATATTCACTGTTAGCCAAACGACCACAACCAGAAATTATATGTCTAATGGATTCACCAGGACTATGACATGCCCGACATATGTCAACCGTCCCATCCTTAATTATATATTTCCGATAGTTATTCGTAAGGATAACTTCGTCCATTATTGCACAGACAAATCCTTCAGTTTCTCCAAAGAGATTACTGAATCGTAGCCAAGATACGGACGCTAGAAAATCTACACTGGGCCCATGAAGGGCCCGGAAGAAGCGTCCGTGGAGCTCCTTGCTATGCTATACCTCCTTGCGATCATTGACGCTCAGTACCACAGATTTGCGCCAGTTCTCTTTTGCCAAGGATAGTGGAGTGAATCCATTGTCCACTGCGGCTACTTCTCGATGCATACCCTCGTTGACTTTCAGAAAATATTCCCTGAGGTTGCACACCTAACGGTTGTGAAGGGTCTTAGCGTTTAATAAGAGCCTCGACCACCACACTTCCGCGGGATGTACAACCTCATGACCGATGAACGAGGGTGATGCATGCGATTTGCAGTTAGCAGTGTCCGGACTCGCCTATCCAGGGTGTCAAGTTCAGTCTGAGTCCACTTGAGTATACCAAAAGAATACATTAGGACTGGCATGACTCAACCGTTAAAGGCTCGCACTTTGTTTCCGCCTGATAAGGAACTTTTCAGTACCCTATTCAGACGGCCAAAGAAGCGCTCCTGTAACAATTGCTTCATGTCCGGTCCATTAATGCCTAATCCTTCATTCATTTTATTATTGTGTCGATTGCATGCAGTGCAGACACGTCTGTGATCGTTTTTAGGTTATAATTTTATTTGTGCTCTTATTATTTGAAGTACATACATATATACATAACTGTAAAAGATTTAGCAACGAGAAATGGCATCAGTGAAGAAAAGATCGCCTTTATGGGAATACTTTGACATATGTTTTTTTATCCAGCTTTTTTTTAATCGGCCGGATAGTATTATAGCGGCCGGATACTGGATAGTTACCGGATATAGGTCGACGTTTGACCACCATCTCGCCTGATGGTAAGCGATGATGTGGCCGACGATGGAGCACGCCTACCTATGAGCAACCTGTTCACTCGGGACTTGAAGACACCCAAGTCATATTTGACGGGAAACACAGCCTCTGGCAAGGAATTCAATTCCTTAGCGGTTCGCATGAGGAAGCTTGACGCGAAACGCTTCGTGCGAATGTTTTAAGAGTAAGCACCTAGGTGCGTGCGATGATGTGGCCTACGATGGAGCACGTCGACCCATAAGCAACCTATTCACTCGAGCCTTGACTATACACCCTTGAATATACCATTCAGGAAATACAGACTGGCAAAGAATTCCACTCCTTAGCAGTACGCACAAGAAGCTTGATGCGAAGCGCTTCGTGCGTGTGAGTGGGACATCTACCATGAATCGGTGACGCTACGTCGATGATTGAAAGGACTAGGGGGAATCAAGTTGTGCAATTCCCCCGCACACTCTCCAAAATGTATCCGGTAGAAGACTGAAAGGCTTGCAACCTTACGCCTGTGTTTGAGGCTTTGAAGCCGGGCCTCCACAAGCGCATCATCGTTGATGAGTCTTGGCACGCCTCTCGATGTGCTCTAACGCGTCCAGCTATTATTTGGCCGAACTGTTGAAACGATGAGAGCAGTAATCCATACAAGACCGAACCTATGCTTGGTACAGGCTCAGCAATTGCTTCGGCGTTGAGTACCGTCTCACCCTCCATAGGATACCTAACTTCCTACGAGCCAGTTGTGCTTTTGGGTCTATATAGGAGAAATTGTGTTTGAATATTGTTCATATTTGAAATACTCACTTTATATTAGTTATCTTTGTAGTTGTGTTATGATTGTGACTTGCGAATTTCATTTCCATACTTCCATGCCACAGACCCAAAACAATGATAAAGCGCTGGTGCGTAGCTACCCAAACTCCGTGGTTTTATAAATGTATAACTTTTATTCTATATGTAGACAGACAGAAATAAAGAGTTATTTATTACGATTTTTGCCTAATAAACGAATAATGATGAATTACAAAAAAAATAAGGTCTCTCTGCTCTTATTGAGGAGGGAAATACAATGAACTATAGAATTGATTGTAGGTACCTAGATTGTATCTACATGTAGGTAGATATTAGTTTTCTCTTTCAATTCAATGCAACGATTCTGTTTGACAGTACTTCAATGAAATTGATAATAATTACCGTAAAGCGTCTGAATTCATTGCTTCGATTCTGTTACAATGTCCTTAATCCATTCAATCGATAATAGGTGCTAACTATATACTTAATTTGATGGCGCTGATACAATAGATTATAATAACACATAATCGCTTCATGTACATAGGTATTAGTTAAAAATCCAAAGTAGATCAGGAATGAAACGTACACCGTACACGGCTGTTTGTTCTAGGGAAATAACGTTCGCTTTTATTTTGTACTTTATTTGCATTACAATAAATATTTACATTTCATTCATTTATAATATTTATAACTACAATAATAATAATAATTTTACTATATCTAAATCTAAATTATGTAGAGTTGTACCACGCTTATTGCATACACAACAAAAAATAGTTAGGCATAATGCAAGTTTAGTTCCCCATGGTTTATGGTTTGCGTAGGTGATAACTTTATTTGTGATAACTTTATCGAATATGTGTAATGGAAATACAACCACTTATTTTTTGCTGTTAGAGGATATTTATCATCACAAGCATTAAATTCCTTTATTACCAAGCCACTGGTAAGCAGTTTTACAATTCATAGACCTAGACTAGGGCTAATTTTAACACCTTTCTTCTCTATAAAATGAAAATGATATTGTACTGTATAAAATAAATGCTATCCTAAAAATAACATCGTTACTAATAATTCAATACATAAGGCATCTAGTAGAATATTTTGGTCATGTTATCTTACATATTTCATAAACACTAAGTAATTAAGATAATAAAATGAGCTAAGTTCTGTTAAGTACCAATACTTCCAATGCATGATCGCATTATTGTGGCACAAAATCGTTTAGAGCAAGTACTTTTATAAATCAGTCGCTTGCTCATTTGGTGTGACATTTGAACTAGAAACAAAATAAACTAAATGAAATAATTGTTATTTATGAAATACCTATTTTGCCAGTTATTTACATGTACTTGTTACCCTAAATTTTGCATACTCGCTTTGAGTTTATAAGGGATTTTTATATGTGCAAAATATTTCATAAAGAACTTAATTATCTGTGTCCTTGTAGAACCTATAGTACATACATTTGGTGGTTATTATGGCAGAGGTCAAAAGTTAAAGCTCTTCGTGCTTGGCTGGCTGTGCGTCGCTGATGTAGTACGTTGTTTCTGGAAGTACGACGCCATAGTCTGATGTTGCGAGCGCGTGGTACCGCGACCTCAAGTGATGGGCGGCCGCTTTGGGCTGCCGGCTGCGCGTGAAAATACCCTTTTTGTTGCCACCCACCCGCGTTATAGCTGTTTTTGGAAAAAATAAAAAATCGATATTTAAACAGTAATTAAAAATAAAGACGATAGTTTTTCATTGTTTCAAAAATCCAGTAGGTATTGCTATTATAGATGTCGCTTTATATGTGTTTCATTGTAATGCAAGACAATCATGCCATGGATGCCTATTTCCAATTTTTTAATTCCCAACATAAAAGGAGAAACTGCGTGATTTGTAGACTTATAGAAAGTAAAAGCTGAAATGATAGAAAAAGTTAAAAACTTTCGTAGGACAACAACGACAACTTTGAAAACTCTCACAATGTTTGGGATAAGATAATCAAGGTTGATAGCTTTTTGCGTAAATAAGGTGTAAGTATTCGGGGGTTTTGAATGGGTACTGTCAAAATATTGCATGAAAGAGCATACCATGGACCGTGGTGACTATTAAAACATTTTGTGATAGCTTAATATCGTAACCTATCAACCTATGTAATATCGTTGGGATAATTATTTTTTCAAAGTGTTCGTCACTTGTTGATAAAATATTTACATGCTAAAGGAATCATAGAAAGACATTTATGCTCATGCAAAGTTTGATTCATTCTTCAATATCATGCATTCTGATCACAAGCATAATAGGGTCTGAGACCACCACCATGTTCCATGACAAAAATAGAATAGGAATCATTCATAAAGTGCCGTAACTAGGGCGCTACTAACTGGCAGTGCCCGAGCATAGAACCATAGACCCTAAAGGAAACTTCAGAGACTCTTAGAAGGGCACAGTTATTTTAGTAGCCCTACTAGTCACGTTACGCTAGTTACGGCACTGCATTCAAATAGTCAATCGTCTAAGAAGGAAGTCAGTCGCTTACAGCGCAACCATTTGAGGTGACGAACATGTGGCTGCAGACGGTCTCGACGACGCTTGGGGCCTTTGCCCACCGTCCCTAAGCAATATTAAGACAATCACAACTTTACGTTAGGTATCGTTTCTCTCTTGAGAAATTTCTTTGGATTTTGGTCAACCCACTAGGCGACTGGTACGATAAGAAATGCTGTTAAATGAAGTAAGGAGGTTTACTAACATTGCGGTGTTTTGAAGTCGGCAAAGTTCCATATGAACTCTCCAGCGAAGAATCCAGCCTTCCGTAGGAGATCAAATGCCTTGAAGTGTTCTGAGATTAGCAAACATTGGTACTCCTCCGACCAGATGTATTCAGGGTACTGAAACATAAAATTACAGAAATTACGTCCCAATCTTGACAATTTCACCTGGAAAAGCTTTACTTTAATTGTATCGGTACCAGAAGCATCAAAGTGAGCTGTTGACGATGTAAGATACGCCAACATTTTAGGAAGTCTCAATCATGGTTGAAAACTTAAGATTTTTAATTTCATATTACGATGATGATTGGTTTCTGTTATGTTAATAATAAGCTTTCCCCTAATGGTATAATAAGTTGAGCAACTTAACATGTGCGAAAACTGCACCTTTTGTCTCTAATTGTTAATATTGTAAAGCTACACTGGAGTTAAAAGCCTTCTGTTCTATAGGTACCACTTGTACCAGAAATGTAATGGGAAGGTACTGCCTCCTGTGATACAGGCAACGCCTAGTTCATAGGAGACAGAGCTTGATGTATTTAGGTGTTGGTATATTAATTATTATTATTATAATTAGATGACCGTCTGTTGAGATATAAAGGAACTCACCAAGTGCAGTCCCGCAATAGTGTCAGCTCCATATTCAGTCATGATGACGGGCTTGTTATGTATGCGGTGCCAGTTGGTGGCTTCCTCCACCACGTTGTTGGTGATCTGCGCCGTCTGGCCGGGGTTCGCGTACCATCCGTTATAGCGGTTGAAGCTGATCACGTCCAAATGACGACCCTGGAAATTATAATTTGTGATTATTCAGTAATTATGAAAAGTAATATTAAAATTAGAATAATCTGCTAAAGCGAAGAACTTGAAGAAATACACAAAATACATAATTTTGCAATTAAGTACCTAAATACGTTCAATATCTGCAGTATATTAGTATATTTAAACTTTGATATGTAAGCGTCTAAAGCGTCATTGTGAAAACTAAGGACTATTTTTATTTTACTTACAGATTTATCAGTAGAAGCACCGGCAGAAATAGCAATAGTGACGGGCCGAGAGAGATCCATAGACTTGACATGACGTACCACTTCCCTGAACACAAATTATTTAAAAATTATTAAAAGTAGATCTCTACGCTACATTCTGTAAAACAGTATTTTTCTGTATAGAGTCTTACCCGAAATATCTGTCAGCCAATTTGTTGGCGGACCGTGGTTCGTTAGAAATGGACCACATGATCACACTGGGATGATTCTTGTCACGTCTGATCAGTTCTGTCAACGATTGCTTGTGTTTTGCCAACAGCGTATCAGAGAATCCACTGCAAAGAAATAAGCATCCATTAAAAACTGTAATCTTGCTAGAATTCCCAGGCTTAAAAGGAATTTGGTTATTGGCGTCCAACGTGGGACTCGTGTAATAAAAGTGCATTTTGATTGCAAAAGTGGGCCACTTACTCAGTATCAACGCTGGGGCACTCATCAATGATCATGATGCCATATTCGTCAGCGAGCTGGTAGATTTCTTCAGCGTATGGGTAATGAGAAGTCCGGAACGCATTGGCACCTAACCATTTGATGAGGTTGAAGTTCTTCACCCATAGTACGGGGTCCCAGCCTTTACCTCTTAACTGGAAGATATAAGACGTTTTTAGACATTAAAGAGATTTGAATTAATTGGACACACGTTTTTCTATTCGGTTTATAAGATCTTTGCTACTTAATCGAAGCTGGTCTATGATTTTTTCTTTACCACATTTGTATTATAAGTGCCTAAGGTAATGTAATAATATTAGTTAGTTAAAGTATTAAAGAAAAATGTACTTACATCAGAATCTTCATGCATGCCGAACCCTTTCAAGTAGAGGGGTTTTTCATTCAAATAAATGGTAGTGTTTGACCACGTGACTGTCCTGATGCCAATCTTCTGTGAGTAAGTGTCCAGGGTCTCACCTTGAGGACCGATTAACGATGCCTGGGGAAAATAGAGAAATTTTAATTTTTCATACCTTACTTAGTCTTAAAAGGTAGATTGTAGTCTTTATACGCCCATGCTGCTAAAAGTAAGGAATAAATATATTAAAAAATTAAAAATAACCAAGGATAATGAGTCCTCACATTTCTCAAACAGGACCGGAAAACACCGAAGCATAAGTCTAAATCTTACCTATTTAAACCTTGTAATTTTATTTTTATTAAGGAAATAATTTTATACTTATTGAGAAAATTACTCTATTATGGTCCGATAATATATAATAATTTCACTTCATATGATTTCAAAATTCTCCATACTTAAGAAAATATTGTGTTTGTGCATTATCCATCATCTTGCTTTTTTAAAGATAGAGGTAACAGCAATGAGTTGACTATCAACGATTTATTCTGATCATGATATCGAACCATCGACAATCCTGCAGTAGGTATTTTTAATCTAAGGGTTTGGGAAAAGTATGTTATAGGCATTTTACCTTCATGGTATATAAGTATCCGGGATTGGGGTGCATCAGGTAAGGCCACCAGAAGTTGGCGTTCCCGATCTCCAGTAGTCCAGCACATTCGTTGAATGCTGCCACTTGGGTACCATTTTTGTCAAATAATTGTATTAAGCAGTGAACTTTGTCTGAAGCTGCACCTTTCTGTGTTACGTTGTATACTACGAAACCTGGAAATAAAGATGAACACTTACAATTCAGAACTATAATTTTAGAACATAGGTATAACATAGGTATAGGTAGGCTATAAGAAAAATTATTGTGTTGTTGAGACAATAAAAATTATTTCTTTAAACAGACTGTATGTACTACGCACCTGTATGTCCCTGTATGTCAGTGTTGACGATGACGTCATCAATGTACACTTGAGGTGTAGAATAGAGGAACACAGTGCGGTGAATGCCAGCGTAGTTGTAGAAGTCAAACGTATACTGTTGTTCTTGGCGAATTTTGTTTGGACTGTAGGACAAAAATAAAATTAAATGTCTTATTTAATTGTTCAAATTTTAATGTAGAAGGTAAGCATTTTATTGGAACATGCTCAACACAACATCCTAAAACCTCAGTGACTCCTGTCAGCTAGGATTTACAGTAGATATAACTATGAAAATAACGAACCACTGAAGTCCGGCGCATCTCAGGGACATGAATATACCGTCTTGGATTCCATTAGAAGAGAAAAAAGCGAACACCTTTGAGAAGAAGCTATTAGATAAGCATAGATTTCTATTAAAGTGTGTAGATACTAAAACGAGTAGTAAATGCGTTTAAATCTTTTGTATAACAAGTAGCTGTCTCGCTTCCCACGCTGCGTCGACAAAGGAAAGTGCAAGGTAACTACATCGCATAGTGTAGTTTACCTATAAATGTACCAGATACCATGTATGATGCATTGTAAATGCACAGAGTTCCTTACGTTTGGGATTTCCGATACCGAACGACTCGACGACCGATTACCTACCAACTTAAAATTTCACGAAAATGCTACCAATGTAATATTTTCTCCTAAGATGCATATGTATTGTGTTGACAAAACTGAACTTATTGCAATGCAATAGTCGTGGGTAGGTACACTGGTAGGCCGTTCAATCATGGATTTTTTTTGTGTTGGAACTGTTGACGTGACTCGATACAATGCGTGAGAATCGGTTGACCAATAGTCGCGAAAATCGTATAGTATTGTTATGGATTTTTATAGATGGATTCAAGTTTATAATGATAAAACGATGAGCGCCACCCATTGACATCCGTAACACTATCTGTCGTGTCTCAACTTCGTTTCCGAACTTTTTATGAAGGAGTTAAGTATTACCTTAAAAAACGACTTACCCAACATAAACGCTCTTGATAACTCCTTGAGGCACAGTGTCGCTAAGCAACGTGTTGTCAACCACTACTGTGAGCAGGTTACTGCTATTGAAAGTTACGAAGTCTGTGATTTCAGCCTCGAAAGGTAAGTGACCGATCTCATGGTACATCACCGATTTGCCATTTATGAACTGTAAAAGAAAACATAATTATGTGGTTGACATAACATCATCATACTTTATATTAATGCCTAAAGGTAATATCACTAATGTGTGTTTGTTACAAAGTGTATGTTACAGTATATCGCTCTGCATATTAAGTTATACGTAATACACACTTTTCTCTAGTTACGCTATACTGACGAACCATATGCTGGACATGATTCCGGACTCCAAGTAATACCGTGAATTCTGAAAATCAATAATATTTTGTTTGATTCGGAGATCGTATTTGAGCCATTGTATTTACCAGTCGCGCATTGCAACCTCGTGACCACGATTTAAGGTATTATCAAAACAAATAAAAATGGTCTCCAGCTTTATCATTTTATTTATTTATTTAAGCTTCATGCACAATGTGTACATTAGGTGGACTTAATGCCGCAGGCATTTTCTCCCAGTCTGACCTTTGGGTGATGCAGAGAAGTCAACGGTGTGAGCAAGAAGCAAGCAACGATTTAATTGAGCAATCAAAATATATACACTTACATATTTCAGAGATAAACACAAATAAACATAATTATAATATATATACCTACACAAGACAATAACCATACATGCATTCATACATATTAACGATAACATTTTAATGATTAGATATTCTTGGAGTTGTTTGTTGACGATAAAAATTAATGAGTCGTATAATTTATTAAGTTTAATGTAGGCATAAAATATTAAGCAATTACTTATATCTTAAATACCCTTAAACTGAGAACAGAACACGTGCTCAACATTTCATTTATGTCCGTGTGAGTCATATCAAATAAAAATATTATTGTGCTACAATATTTACCATAACAGTAAAAAACAACGGTAAGTAACGGGTACAATGCTTCAAATGACTTCTGCAATACCCATTTGTTTTAACAAAGACAAATGAAGTTCTTACGGCAACAATATTTATAGTAATTTAGGTTTGTTGTAACCGTTCTGTATTCTTATGTGGTAACTACCGTACAACAATAATGAACTAGAACTAACTATGTTTGTTTGTGTTTATGTGTACAAGTATCTACACATTTGATAGAGACTGGGCAGCAGTGTTTTTTAATCATTTCATTCAAGACCGGGCAGAAGCGGTCTTCAATAAAGCGGAACCTTTTAAATTGTGATCTATAATAAACTTGCGAAGTGTGAAGGTTATGGAAAACCCTATAGGGTGGAACTTCAGCAGTGGACTGTCAACGGTTGTTCGCTTTAGAGCAGGAGTAGGAACGGGGTAGTTTTTAGTCAGAAAGAGTCTGACACTCCCTCTCGCCTAACCCCAGTCGGGCGAAGGCATTGAATGATTTTCCCCCCACAAAAAAGAAAACGGTTTTTGGCTTTGATTGCTTTATTGTGTATTTGAAATATGTAAATAAAGTTAGGACAATGAGTCAATATTCGATCATCCTTGGGTGATTCTTTGAAACAGAGGGTTTTTGACTCATTAATCTGGCTCAATTTTTTTTTGCACTTAGATCTAAATTGATATTATAGTTTGACCCAGTGCTTTATGTGCAATATCATATATCGAAGGCATCGAATTGCATCATGTAGATTAGAATTTAGAAGGTGCTGATTAATTGATGAGCCAGATTAATGATGACATAGGCAGATGAATGTGATTTCGCACCATATTAATTAGAGGTATACAGATTAATGATAATTCCGTTATTTTTTCCAATCAACTTTATTATAAAATTGTACCAAATATTGAAATAATAACTCCGGGGACATGCCAAACTAATTAGGTTTTACTGTTTTCTGCAAACTTAATTATAGTTTTTTTTAATAAATCCTAATTAGCTACAGCAGGCCTCGATAGACATTTACCCTTAACATAAAACCTGAAACTATCATTCAAATCGAAAGTTCTTTTGATGTGTTCTTCGGTCAAAAACACGTCAAAACTGTGTTTCAAAGAATCACCCCCTTAGATGATGCAGCATTCGGTATTCCCTCTATATTTTTAATTTACTTAGTTTTTTTCCTAGAATCTCTTGCGTAAATTTAAAAGCGTACCTAAACGTTTATTGACGAACAAACGTTTAATATTATATAGATTTAAGCTGTTTATATTGACACTTATTTACTCAGATATGATAATACTTAGTGGCTGTTTGTCGACATTGCTCAATGATGCGGTATCTTTAATGGAATCAAGCTGTGAGTGTCGTGACTTTGTAAGTACATTTACAAGTTAGGTATGAAGATAAGAACTTTGTTTAATTTTGTAAAAGTATTCACTATATTGCCTACTTACCGTAGCAGCGGGTGTCAGGCTGTCTGCTAGGTTAGTATCTATACTTATCTATACCAGTTTTAAAGTGTGCGTGTAACCGCTCCTAATATCAATTTGTAATGTTTTCTACGTGTGCAATAAAGACATTAAAGATATAACTGTGTCTCATTTACTCCCTTATCCTTTGATATTCTGAATAAAAAAACTATATTGATTGACAATCAATATACTTTTTTTAGTATATAAAGCTGAATAGTTTGTTTGTTTGTAGGCCTTAATCACAGGAACTATTATATAGGAAAAAACAATATTCTGTTCGTTAGTCCATTTATCGAGGAGGGTATAAAATATCATGCTACGATAGGTAAATAGGTTCCGAGCAGAGCGGATGAAACCGCGCGGTAGTAGCAAATATCTAGGAAGCCTTATTCGTATACATACTTACTTATGTATATATATTAGGTAATTAATCGGTTTGAGTTTCAACATAAATATTCCTGTTGTTCACAAAAGGGAAGAGTAGACGAACAGGTTTCAACTGACAAGCTCAACAATGCTTTAACCAATCCAATATTAACTCGTCGAGTACCGGTTTTGTAGACACAATTATAGAACAATAGGTTGCGGTCACCGGTGACCGCTTGGTGTTTGACAGTTTAAACTCTAAAACTTGTATTCATCAAATGATATTGAGACAAGAAATAGAGAAGCGTATAGCGATACTTTTATATCTATATAATAGCTAGGATAGTAAATTATTATAGGTGACAATGACTTAACAACAGTCTAATGTAGCTACTTCAGCATAGTTTAGTTTGAATATCACGGTGTAGTACTGAAGACTTTGCCGTTGTCAGATAATTTAATTGACCTCTGTATCGCCAGATAATGTATTAAAATACCAAAACAATACTCCTAAATGTGATCTGTTTCAGTATAAACATTTGCTTTAATTCTCGGCTGAAAAAATAAAGCTGAACAAAACATTAACAGGATCAGAATATATACGGGTAATTTCTATAAAAGCTGAGCGCATTCACCTCACGATTCACGTGGGCGACGTAAAAATATACCCGCTACAAAGTTCAACGTAAGAACAAGGGCGTAATTTGAACCTTATCGGGGGGATTTTATATGGATTCTGTTAAATACTCGTATGTATGTAAATTTAGGTATATGTATCGAAGAGCTTCTTGCTTGTTATTTATCCTTTGTCACTTATGTTAAGGATAAGTTGAATGTGCCTTATATGTGCTCCGTGAAAACTAAACCCTAAGTTTATTACCTTGTGAAGATACATGTTTTTTTGCCAATGATATATCAGAGCCGACAGAGACTGTGTGTACTTATAAGAAGTGTCTTTGATTAACTGAACTTACAAGTGATACTCCAAACAAATTGCTTTTAGGTATTCCTCAAAAATATCAGTATTAGAAAGTACCTATGCTATAATTCTCACCATAACAGGACTTAACTACTGTAACTTAATATCCATTAATCCTCGGTTTCATTATCATATAATTTAAATACAGATATAAACCTGACCCCGTAAGTGTTCTGTCCTGAATGATTTGTATCTGTTTATGTTAGCCAGATTTGTGCGCACTCGACCCACATTCTGGAGACATTGTCCTGCAAATTGGATCTTTATGTCCCACTTTATAGGAGCCATTACTAAGTCGCCTCGTGGTTGATTTACAAATCATTGTCAAGTAATGAGGTATCGCCTACAGGGCAGTAACTTTGAGATGCTTGACATTATTTACTGTGCTTTCCCACAGGTATAGGTCGGTGGAATGAATCTCTTTACTGATTTATGTTGTATTTGTAATCTGAGTAAGTTTTTTCCTTGTAAAGCGTTTCGTTTCCTTATTTTGACTCGTCAGAGCTGATGGATGGTTGAGAGAATTTGTTACATGATGAGTCAGATTGTTTGATCAATTGTTACCATTATTTTTCATGTAAGCTTGATTATTTTGACATGGAAATGAAAAGTGACATATGTATATATAATTAAACATTTTACGTATTTCGAAATTTAATTTAAATATCACTGAATATATAGATAGTTAATACTTGGGTCAGAGCCCATTCGTCCCCTAAAATTCGTCCCCCAGCATAAAAGTTGTGGATTCGGCCCCTATATAGGTGCCCATTGGTCTCCTGGTAGGGGACCAATTAATATTTAATAAAAAATATTATTTTTAAGGTACCCATTCGTCCCCTCTAATATAATACATAATAAGTTAAAGATTCGGCACCTATTCAGGTGCCTATTGGTCCCCTGAGATAAAATAAGCTAAATTTTGCACAAGAAACGGTTAACATAGTACACTTATGAACAGTTTATTAACGGAATTAGTTTAATAAATCATAACAGATCATTGAAAAAAGAGCTATGATGATTGATAATAATATAACCTGTCGATAGGCCTACGATGCAATATTGTCTCTCTACGAATGGCTTTTTAAAAAACGGGGTACAAAATTGATAAGGTGTTTTATTTGTATGTTATGGCTGCCTCGGTGACATATTGGTTCTTGAAAGTGACTACGAATACGAGACTTCAATGTGTCTTTGGTCTTTTTTATATTAAATGATGTTCGCCTAACGAAATAAACAATATTGTTAATATTATAATAATAATATTTTTAACATAATTGAATCGAATTATCTCATTTGAATCCTGGAATATGATTAGTATTATTATTTGACGGTAATTTACTTTATATTGGAATACTACAGTTATATTTTGACTACATTATTTACTCCTAAATATGTATAAGTAGCAATTTATTATCCGCAATTATAATTTTATCATATTTGTGGATGTTATTATAATCTTGTATTTTGTTTTTCGTATTAGTTCAATGTGGAGTCGTTGTCCTTCTTTTAATGTACTAAAATAATGAACGTTCTAACATTAATTCTATATTTATTATTTTACCCTTTTCTGCGCGACTGTACCAGGACTACCAAGCTGCAGTATACATATATACATGTACTTATATTAGAAGAACGAATAAAAATAAATATTCTTCAGGGGACGAATAGGCCCCTCAAAAGTTCCAGGGGACGAGTGGGCACAGGGTGCGAATCTTAGGGGACGAATGGGCTCTGACCCA